AACAATCCTTCACATTTTCAAAATGGCTCTTCCAGGAAGTATTGATAACTCCTGGTTAATTCTTCCTTGTGACTACTTGGTTCTGAATAAACATATCTCTTTCTCAACTTTAAGCAAAGGGTTTTTTCCTCCTTCTGCCTTTTTTAACATTTGAAATATAAGTAGTATTATAGTAACCATGGTATCCTGATGACATAATGGTTACCATGACAACAAAGCTGAAATAGTGTCATCAGAGCCCCTTCTCTCTGCTGTATGGTAAGTTTTATATTTACTAGATGGCCAAACTGCTGCCATCCAGTCTGGCAAATTCTATCTGGCTTCATGGTTTCAAGGCTCATAAAAGCAGAGCTGCCCTGTGCTGCTGCCTTCTGCTTTGGTACACTTAGTTTTGCTTCAGGGCAGCTGTGCAACCAGCTTATAAGGTCTGCATAGCAGCCGGTAAGAGGGTAACTTCTGTAACAGATTCCCTCAGGACAGTGGCATTTGTCATGTGCCTTGGGCATCCTCCAGTATAGCCCTTGGCCATGAGTAAAATGGTGGCTCTTGCCAGACAAACTAGATTTTAAGTATTTTTTACCTAACAGTGTTGGAAGATTTCTCTGCTAGCTTGTACAGGGTCTCCCAGTACATGGCTGCCTGTGGTCCAGTCCTGCAATTACCTCTGCCCAGAGAGTGCCCTGCATCCACAAAGGAATCCACTGGCCACTGCCAAAACACTGTACCCAGAGGGTAGCTACAGCTTCAGACAAGCGAAAGTTATTCCCAGCTAGTTTCCTCAGAGAAGATCCTTCTTTTACTGCAAGAACCGCTGGACATGACTCACTGCATATTGTTTGCTCACTTTGCTATATATATTTCCCAAATGCTATTTTAAGTTGCATTTCTCCCTTGTGCTCCCACCAAGTTTACTGCATGAAAACAACCCTCCAGTTTTAATTTCATATTTAACCGAAACAAATGTGGTGTTGCACTTCAGTAAAGCTGTCTGGATTTGTATTCTGTGTACAGATATAAAAACATTGGTCAGAGGGAAAGACATGGAAGGTCCTACAAAACAAAGAGGCCAGTGAAGCAGGCAGCATTTCATACAAAGCTCCCTGCATTCTGTCTGTGCTTCCACACCAACCCAATTCACTTCCTGCAGAAGGCCCACATGCATATTCTTCCTTCTCTAACCAGAATCCACTGCAAAGACTCTTCCCAGAGATTCTGGTCATAACCTGTTCTGGCTGAACAGGCCTAGCTCCCTCATCCATTCCTCGAAGAAGAGAAGCCCCAGACCCTTGACCCTCTTCATAGCCCTCCACTGGACCCAATCCAGGAGCTCTATGTCTCTGTTGTTCTGAGGAGCCCAGAGTTCAGCACAGTACCCTAGGTGAGACTCACTAGGGCTGAGCAGAGGGACAGGATCACCTTCCTGACCTGCTGACAGTGCTCTTCCTAATGCCCCCAGGACACCATTGACCTTCGTGGCCACAGGGACACACACTGATGGGTAATGGATGGCTTGTTGTCCCCCAGGACCCCCAGGTACTTTTCCACAGACCTGCTTCCCAGCAGATCAGCCAAGGTCAAATGTGTCTCATGTCCAGAATGCCAAACAGGAAATAAAACCCAAAGTCTTTTAGAAACCAGATGGATTGGATATTTCAATGACTTTCTGAACCATGAAATCAAATGAATAAAGACTATTAACAAGGACATGAATACAGGAATCAACTTAAAACGTTACAAATTCCCAGCTATTCCCACCTTAACCCTCACCAGGATCCTTAACAGCTGCCTCAGACGCAGTACAGTGCAAATACTTCACTCTAAGAAAGGTCAAACTTTTATACAAAATTCACCAATAGCCTCTGTTCTACAGCTGTATCAGTGGGTGCCCCGAAATTATTTACATCTTCTGAACACTACTTCAAACCTGCCTCATCAGTTGTGCTTCACCCAAAGTTCAACCCTGATCCCAGCTGTGATCTTGAGTTAGGACCTCTGCCTGCCCAGTAGGGAGCTACTGCCAGGGTCAACACTGAAGTCCCTGGCATGGCTGGCAATACATAGCTTGCTTGTCACTGTGTCTCCACTCTCTGCCCTTTGTATGATGTTGGCCTTACCACAATATCACACTTAAACCCTTCTTAATTGTGTCAGGGTGACAAAATACCAGAGCAAACTCAGGTTGCCACCAGCCTAATTCAAGTTCATCATGCCCTCATAGCTCATCCATGTACTTAATCCCAAATTATGGCCCCTTTTTTTCTGACGCAATTTTAATAGCAAGTAGGTGGCTGACCAGTTCCACCATGTTCTCTGCGGAGTATGGGGTACCCAGATTCTGTTATTCAAAATAATTCAGGCAGATTTCGGATGTTTTTCAGTGAAAAATTGCAGAGAACCACATGTGGTTTTAATGTCAGACCTCCTGCACTTTGGAACACTCAAGAAGCAAAATGATTTCTTAGAATAAAGCAGAGAAACCCTGCTGCCTCTCAGCTCTTTGCTGCTGCAAGCCCCCAAACCCTGCAAAGCTACTGTGCACCCCATGGCAGTGAGCAATAGATGGCTGGTACGGTAGCTTGGAGCATTTGGGAATAAGGAGAAATTATTCCATGGTTCACTGCAATCTTTCTGAAAGTCTTTCAGCCTTTCTCAGAGGAGGCCCATCACCAGATGATGCCAGGTTTTCATAACACTGACTTTGGAAGGGAAGAGGAAACTGACCGAGTGCTGTAGTAACTGACAAGTTTAGTTTTGCCTTACATCAAACTGACTCACCCTGCTCTGATACTAACTCACAAGTCTCTCTTAATTGGGAAAATCACTAGGATAGTACTCACTGCCAGAATTCTGGGTCATAAAGTCATTCTCTGACTCAGAAGAAGGTTTACAATAGCTGTGGCAGTGATATGTAGTGTAGGCGAGTCATGTTGAACTATTACCAAAAGCATAAGAACCTTATAAAACAAATACATAATACATGATACGTTCTTTGTTCTATAGCAAAAGATTTGACAATGCTATAATGTCCACTTAGATTTCAGGAACACAAAATTTAAAAAGTGAAGTTCCTAAGATGCTTCTCCCCACAGAAATAAAAAGTAGGTTTTTTTTTAAATTCAGAGGCTAAAATTTTAGCTGATATAAATTTTCTGGCAGGCATTAAATTTGTGGAAGCATACTGGTTTAAAACAGCTCAGAATGTGATTCTAGATTCATGGGACGAAACCCCATGCTTATTGATTATATAACTGCAAATGCAGATATGTCTCAAGTGCAGCATGTAATGTATGTACCAGTGTATAACAAAATTTTCCATGCATATTCAGAAGTAGAAAATGTTCTTTTCAATTTAAATTGTATGAGATTTAAATAAACAAATACTTTTGGGTGTTCAAATCAAGAACTCCAGTGAATAAAAATCAAGAAAATATATAAAATATTAATTAAAGGAACTAGTGATTTCCAGTGAATGGATAGTGAGGTAGCCAAAGTAAGTACTTTGTAGTCTCCCACTACCTGAACATTTAATGCTTTGACTGTGCAGTAAGGCTACTAAAACTAACACCACAAACTAAACTCAACAATAGTCATGCCAAAGCCCTGGGGACAACCTCTGGTCTCCAGCCAGAGAATTGTGAAGTGTGTGTTTAACAAGTCACAAGCATTTTTTGGACAACTGATCTGAAGGACAAAAAGAATTACAAGGCTACACCATAGTACCAACTAAACACTGGGAAAACCAAGTGGACTTTAAATGAATTTTGAGATTGTTTCCTCCCTTCTATTACCTCTGGAAGAGAGTCCTAGTTCGGGTATTCAGTGCTGGGTTTTTATGAGCACAAAATGAATTGCCTTTGGTAGAGCAAAGTGGGTTCATAGATGAGGAACTAACCAGTTGCTGTGGCATCTCTAAGGCCACATTCATGTCTCTGGCTTGAGAAGACATTAATCCACAGCGCGGGGCCGGGGGGACCCTCTCCACAGCGCCGGGCCGGAGGGATCCCTCGCTACCTGGCTCTTTCATTCATGCTTTCTCTTTCGCCATCTCCCTCTCAGGCTGAGGGGAAACGGGAGCGCGCGTGGGCGGCCGCTGGAAGGCTCCCTGTCAGTCAAGCGGCCGAGCTGAAAAGAAGGCGAGAGAGGGAGAAGGAGGCTGAACAGCTTTCCCGGGGGAGGGGACGGCTGTTGTCGGCTGCCAGCGTCGCAGCCCTTCTCGGGGGCATCTGCAGAGACGGGGTGGGGGGAAGGCGGCAGCAGTATTGCACCACAGACCCTTCCTGCCGCTTGTCACCTGTCCCCCCCTCCCCACACACGCACCCGGCGGCGGGGGGGTAGGGGGGCGGCCGCCCTGTCTGGCGAGCACCTGTCGCAGGGTCCGTACCCGCGGCGCTGTGGGGGCTGCCCGTGCGTGTCTGCCGGGGCAGCGGAGGGGGGCGAGCCCGGCAGTATCAGTGATGGGGGGTACGTGGGGCGACGTGTCCTCCTGAGCTCCCCGCAGGACCGGGGAACTTCCTCAGGCTGAGGGGCACTCCGTGGTGCCGGCACCAACCGCACCATGGGGGGCTGGCGAAGGGAGGCTCGGGGCAAATTGCACCGTTTCGGGCGGGGGGGCGGCCCCGCAGCGGGCTGAGGTGGGCTGGCGCTTAGTACCGGCGCGGGAAGGGAGCGGGCGGCTGCCGGCGGCGGCGGGAGCGGGGCTCTAGGGCTCGGCAGGGGAGAGCCCGCCGCCCCCCACCGCACCGCAGAGCTGCCTTTGTGCTCCCTCCGCACCTGAGCGCCGGGCTGGGAGGGACGGCGGAGGTGGGGGCGGGCACGGCAGCAACTGCGGCGCAGCCCTGGAGCCGGGGTGGGGAGGTAAGGCGAGGCTCGGCCGTGCTGCGGCGCTCCCGGGGCTGCGAGGGGCCGCTGCGCGCCGGGGGCTGCGGACACGGCACGGCACGGCACGGCACGGCACGGCACGGCACGGCACGTCCCTTGCTTAGCTTTTTCTGCAGCCGTTTCCCCTTTCGTCCTGCTGCGCGCAGAGAGATGCAACAGCGGCAGCCCGGTCCCTCGGGGAAGGACGGGGCTCGGAGGTGGGCGAGTGACATCAGCCCGGCTGGTGCGCGGTGAGGCTGCCGGGCGAGGGGCCGGAGGAGCAGCCGGCGGTGCCCTGCCGCTCCCGCGGTGTCCGCGCAGCCGGCCGCGGAGCGCTGAGGCGGCCGCAGCCCGGCTCGTCCGGCGCTTCTCGCACTCCCGGGGCGCCCGCAGGGCCCCGGCGCGGCGGTGGCGAGCGCAGAGATGGGCTTTTCCCCCGTTTTCCCCCGCTACAGAACGCCAGGATACGCGCAGCAGATGTCAGTGTATGCGCCTAGCGGACCTCGCTTGGGAAGGGCTGGGAGATTTGGGGAAAGCTGCTTTCAGCCGGCATAGCCGGTAGTTAACTACCGGCTGCAGTTAAAATTTTAGCAGCAGCAGCAACAGCTTTGCGATGCTTTCCGGGAATGCTGCTGCCTGGGAGCTACTCTTGCCGGCGGCCGGCGGTATGCCGGCGCTCTCTCCTAGATGGCAGTGCTGAGAGCAGGATAGCTGCCCGTGTAGGCAGTAAAGTGCTGGGAACCTGGAGACCTGTGCAGCTGGCTTTTGGCAGAGTTATGGGTGGAACAGAACAGCATTCACATGGGCCCTGTGAGCTTATTTGCAATCAAGACAATTTTTTTCTTCAAACTTTACATATGGTTGTCTTATTATGCAATTGCGTTTTGGTGAGACTGTGATTGTTACGTTATGAGAGAAAGGAAAAACAAATTTAGTAGATTAAGCCTTTTGTTTTGCAGTGTTATTTATAAAGGTGACGAGGTTCGGATCCAGCTCCGCTGGCTGCCACCTGCTTGGCAACGATTTACAGCTGGTGGTCAGATTCTATGTTTGTGTTAGTGCAACAAATCCCAGAGTGAGATGAAATGTGGCTGCGTTGCCCTCTTTTTTTTTTTTTTTTTTCTTTCCTTCCAAAATGTTGCATACACTGAGGAAGCATTTTTTAAAAATTTATCATAATGTTTCGTTAGTCAGTTTGGGATGATAACTTCCTTGTTGTATAAATTGTACAGTTAATGGATCAAGTTCAAATCTCGGACAGAGCCAGTGGTCACGTTGATTTCAACACAAGTTTTGTGGTACATAACAATAGTGCCGAATTTTACCTGTGTGGGATAGCCAAAGCAAATTTTCTCACTGCTTGCTCTGCTTCCAGTTTGTTCCTTTGGAGTAGTAGAATGTAGTGATTTTGCCGATGTTCTCATTGATATATTTGTCTTAGTGTTGTACATCTGAAGCCAAGGATAGTTCAGAGGCTCAGTATGTGCTCATTGAGAGAGAAAATTTAGCTGGTTGACTTGAATGTGAATGAAATGGACATGAGAACTCTTACTCTATATTTGCATATTATGAGTCCAAGTGTTCTTAGTAGGTATGTGCGGAAAGGTAAGCACATCATATTTGGTAGTTTTATTCCTTTTGTTATAATTGAACAGGCATTATTCTTTGTAGGATTGTGTCGTTGGTTTGTTAGCTTTTCTTACTTCTTATTTAGCAGTATTATTGTTTAAGGGCTTTTAAAATGTTTGTCACTCCACTGCAGAAAGAGTTGCCAACTGAATGTCATGCATATAAAACTAGAACAAGAGCCTTTAAATAGCAAAACCATCAATTTAGTAACAACTTAGTGTGATAAATGGCAGAATGCACAAAAAGAATGCAAATCTGAACAACTATAGCATGCATCTTTTGGTATTAATTTTGATGAAGTACAAAGCACAAAAAGCAAATAAACACACACAGCTTTTAAGTGCCTAAACTGGTTTGAAATGGAAGAGGTGGTTTTTGTGTTTTTTTTCTGTTACATAATTTATGCTTTTAAAAAACGTGTGGGGTGGGGGAAAAATCAGAGAAATTTTTACAAGCATTTCTTTTGTTTTCTGGATCTCAGAATTCCATTATGTAGCAGGATGCTTTCCAGTATCTGGAAAGGCAGATGTTGCTGCAGCAGGAGCAATTACACTGATTTGCAGCACAGTGAAAAAAAAAATCTGTTCTTTCTGCCTCTGTCTAAAAAGGTCAGCCATGCAGCTCTTGTTTGGGCTTGTCAACAGAAGAGATGAGACAGGGAAGTTAAGCTTGTTCAACAAAGGGAGTGAAGTAATGTACAGTTAGGAAATTTCTAGTTTGGGAATAAAATGAGTAAATTTGCCTAACCAACTGCACTGAAGAATTTCACCTACTTGGCTTTCCCTCACAATTGTCCACAAGCCAACCCATTCTGAAAGGCAGGGAGTTTTGCAAGGTTTGGTTGGTTGTTAGTTCATTAACCAGACCTCTCTCTCCTGTGGAGTGTTGAGTCCAAAGGCAGAAGAGGCCGTGGAGACTAGAGGCATGTAGGCTTTTGTAGAAGAGCCTTTCTGACTCGTAGCTTTTCAAAAGGCACACGACAGAATCCCATAACTGAGAATTTTGCTCACACAGTTCTTTTTCAGTTTCCTGCTTACCCTCTGTAGGCCACAGCAACATGTGACTAATGTGACCCAAGATTCAACCTACGATAGGACACAGCTTTTTGGTTTAAACTGATGTTGAGAGTTTATCTTGAGATTGCAGAGATAATGTGTTTCTACTTTAGACAATATTTGAGACTTACTTGCAAAGAGAACATACAAATGAAATTTAAGAACTGAAGGACTGATTTGCCCTAAAGCACCTTAAGTAGAATAAGGCCAGAAGAGATGTAGAGTATGTATCCATGCTGCCACATAGAGAGCAAGCTATGGTAGTCAAGAAAGGCAAGGGTTTTGAACATGTCTGGAAGGTCACAGTATGTTTTATCTCATGATGGAGTTCATGTTCTTTTCAGACTTGTCTCTTAATTCTACAGAACCAGAATGTCCTGCGATTTTGAGCAACTTTAAAGAGCTAGTATGGTAATAATTCAGATCTTAGAAATCAGATTCAAGCGACTGTGTTGTAAGAGTCCTGATCTGTGACCAGCTAGAATGCCAGGAAGTCATATGTTATTGGTTTGTGTCTTTTTGACTTAATCCTTCCTTGTTTAGTGACCTGCTGCATGTAACCTGACTCCTAACCTCTCTGGGGCAGGAACAGCCTTTCCTAAGTTGTTTCAGTAGGGCTCAGATCTTTGTAGCTCTAGGAGATGGATGTAATAGAAACTGGTAACCATGGTTTAAGGTCATGAGTAGCTGCCAAAAATATTTAGTATTTTTAGGAGTTGGATCTCTAGCATAAAAAAATTATTTCTTGTTTGTTTTGTCATTCAGTATCATATTTAGTGTCATTCTGTGTGTGGGGGTATACAGTGCAGCTTTCTGTACTTTTATAGCAATTCTGTCCTGTGGACACAACTGTGTGTACCAACAGGAACTGGTTTTTGACATAAACTCACCCTTCAGGTATGAGCAACTTGCTTAAATTTCAGGGAGATTGTGACCTCCCTTATCTGTCATCAGATAAATGCCTTTTGTTATTGCAGTATATAATAAAGCCACTTAGACCATATTTTAGAAAATAATTAAAAATGTGACGCCGGGCTTAAACAACAGTGGGTGTCAGCAAGGGTGAAACTACGAGTAACATATTTAACGTACATGCATTTGTTTAGGATGATGGCTGTCTTTGTAATCCTGTGTGTGCAAACTTGTTACCTCCAGATGGGCCAGAGTTTCAGGCAGGCCTCAAAGCTTCAATGAGAAGTTACCAATCACTGCAGCATGCAGAGCCTGTTCCTTGCTAGTTTTGCCCACTGCCACAGCTAACATGTCACTATCTAAACTGATATCTGTGTGGATTCACTGCTTCATCAAGCTTCATATGACACAGCTAGTCTTAATTAGCCTGCTTTTTAGAAATCATTCAAATGTTGTAGTCTGAGTATGGCTAGAATGATTATCTAAAGATCAGGTTTCATTAAAAGTGCTGAGAGGACTCTGAAGGCAGCAGTTTTGTGCAAGATAAGAGTGTTCCTTAAAGAAGCTGATGGAGGATAGAGTTCCTAGCAGACACTGACAGCATAAGATGTCACTGTAGTCTAGTCTGAAATTGTATGTCTTAAGAATAATTGGATGTCCTTGACTTCACAAGAAGTTTTTACACTGAAGAAACTTAATAGTGGGGTAGAAACTGCTTTCAGGAGCTGTGTAGGTATTTGTTTCTGTTCAATTGCATTATTATGACTATGGAGCAATTAGTTTTGTTCTACATGTAAATGTGAATTGAAGAATTCTACATTAGAGGAAGACATTTAGTTTATCCTGGTGAACTTGTGTTCTGCACCTATCAGTTCTGAATGACTTTTTTTCTCCAGAACTGCTTGGAAATCAAGGAAATGGATGGTGTAAGCTGTATAACATTACTGGTTCCAAAGGAGTCTCTGTCTGGAAGCTGTGTGTTCCAAAGCTGTTGGTTCACTTGCAGATGGTCCTTTGAAACCTGCAGCTGACAAAGGTCAAAAAGTCCTTGATGTAATTAAATATGCAAAATCTCATACGAATTATTTCCATACCCTTGCAGAACTTTTTTTTATCAGTGGGGCCTTTTGCAGAATAGGCTGCTGTCAGTAGGGAGCAGGTTGGAAGTTGGGAGGCCAGGACACTAACACTGCATGCAATGCCCTGAAATACATTCCACAGCTGTAACCACAATATTAAATACAAACCCAATGTAATTCTTGATGGTTGATCACAGCTCTGGGGAAAAAAAAATCACTGGATATTTTAGTGGGCAAGTCCAGTAGACGTAGATTTTTCCATTTCAAAAAATGGAAGAATTTTATCTCTGCCTAGTATTTCCTTTAGGCTTTGTTATACAGTTCTTGTAAAAAAACAACAAATGCAGAAAGAATCTTGCAAAATATGGTTCTATTTGTATTTGTAAGTAGGCAGTTATCAAATGCTGTCTCTCTTTCCTATGTGACCCTGAGAGATGTGGGAGATGGATTTATTTAATTGGGAAATTGAGAGCTAATCTACATATGGAAATTCACAAACATTAGCATACCAAGCTTGTTTTCCACATGCACGTGACCATTATA